CTGGCCCTTTGTCTGCTGTCATGATTTTCCAGTAGGTTGTCCCTCCTATACATACCAGCCCACAGAATCATGCTGCCAAGCGTCTAAAACAAACTATTTCAGACTGGTATCACAGTGTTCTATAGCAATCAAACATAAGAGAAGTAAAGGCCAGATATAGTTCACTAGCAGTTCACTACAACAAATTTTTCACACTTAAAACTTTCTCAGTGAATTAAGAGAAAGGTGTGCCTGTAATTCAGTGTGCACAGAGTAACACAATGACATTTTAAGACAAACAAGGCACTTAGGACATGGAAGACAATTACATTTCACAAAGACTCACTCGGGGGGAAAAAAATCAGTGAAGAGAAAGAAAAACCTGATGTTTACTGTGGTCCTTCACCAAAAACTGGAAGTATGAGCCTGGGAGAAATCTTTGTGGGTACAGAGCGCTCCACGGCCTGTCCTAGGATGGGATCATCAGAGAACGCAAAGGAACAGCCCTTCCCTGTACTCATCTGGCTAAGCCTACTCAATGCACCAATGCTACTGTTCCAACACCCCTGGTCCCGTCCAGGTGGAAGAGGAGTTGGAGTGGAGACATGGGCTGCACTGAAGTACACAAGCCAAAGAGAGGGGTGATATGCAGCAGTCCCATCAGGCAAGTGGCAGAAGGAGGAGGTGGCAATGTCAAGTGAGTTAAAAACCTGAAGTGGAATGTCTAAGCAAGAAAGTATCAACGGTAAGAGAACAGTTAAAAGGAAGAGACTAGAAAGAAGGTGATGAAACTCTGACACCAAAAAGAATGTGTGAGGTGCTGCTCGGCACAGTGCTTGACACAAAGCAGGTATTCGATATATTTTGAGTGACTAGAGGACGAGTAAATGAGGGAGAGAAAGGACATTTAGTTAAGAAAATGAGAACCCAGGTTAAGGAATGGCAATGGTATATGAAAAGATTAGGAGAAGCACTTAGGCCCACGTGGTATGTAATACTGGTAGTTATGCTAACGGGAAAAAGAGAGAAAGAAAAACACTGGAACCCCTATAGTGAAAACCAACTGATCAAAAAGAAGCATAAAACAAGACAAGCATGCACCAACAATAGTCCTAGAAAAACGAAATACCCTGGGAAAGCTTTATCTTAAAGAGGAGTTTAAAATATGTTGTGTGCTGGAAATGTCAACATTGCTTTCTCCCATGTCAGAAGATTCTCGGAAGCATTTCTCTC